TACGCCACGAACGTGTACGTCGGGTACGCGGCGGAAGCCACGTCGTCGCCGTCGACAGCCGGGACGGGCGGCGGGCCCGGCTGCGGCCGGCTGAGGATGTAGGACCACGTGCAGGCGGGGAACTCGGCGTCGATGTCGTCCATCGCGAAGAAGAGCAGCGGCAACATCACGAACCCGGACAGCGGCCCTGCGAGCCAGTCGATCACCTTCCAAAGCTTCGAGCACGCGACGCACCGCGCGACGCACAGCAGCCGCTTCTCCCGCTCGCGTCGGCGAACTCCCTTGCAGAACGCCGCGTGGCAATAGTACCCGGACGGTTCAGCCCACTCGCCGCTGCGATCGTGCCCGAGGACTGGGCTGCTGCTGTCGCGCAGGTGGGAGTGTATCGGTGTTTCGACGTCCGGCGGCGCGGTAGCCGTCGCCCGCAGGAGCAGCAGCGGCTTCGCCCAGAAGAGGTTCTGGCAGGCGACCGCGTTCCACGCCCGGCACACGAGCCGCAGCTGGCAGACGGCCAGCAGGGAAGGGACGTACGAGAACGCGACGGTCAGGCAGTCCCGCGGCAGGGCGCAGCCGCCGCCGACGGAGACCACGGCGTCGGTGCTTCCGTAGCCGGGGAGGGTGACAGCGAGCGCGTCGGTGTCGCTTTTTCGGCTGCCCACCGCCATGGCCCCCTCCTGAAAATCTTAAACTTAGTTAAAGTTTGACAGCACACTGACATTCATGCACGCTTGATGCAAGCATCGAGTTGAGAATATCTTGGATTGAAAACAGGGGGAAGTCTTAGTTTGGTGTCTGGGCAGAATCTTGCCTCTCATCTCTCATGCATGTCTAATGCTAGCATCAAGTCTTCTGTGCGGTGAGAGTATATCGGTGTTTCGACGTCCGGCGGCGCGGTAGCCGTCGCCCGCAGAAGCAGCAGCGGCTTCGCCCAGAAGAGGTTCTGGCAGGCGACCGCGTTCCACGCCCGGCACACGAGCCGCAGCTTGCAGACGGCCAGCAGGGAAGGGACGTACGAGAACGCGACGGTCAGGCAGTCCCGCGGCAGGGCGCAGCCGCCGCCGACGGAGACCACGGCATCGGTGCTTCCGTAGCAGAAGAAGATGTTGAAAAGGGGGGAGGAGAATCTCCTAATTTAGTGCAATAACGGTGCCCACCGCCTCGCTCGTCGTCGTCCCCGTCTTCTGCAGGGCTATCGAAGCTCCGTCTGCGCACGCCCACATGACCGACAGCACCGGTATTAGCCGGGCGGCCATTGTAGCGGGTACACCCGGGGTGGTCGGTCGCCTTCTTTTCCTTTAAGACTGCTTCTTCGAGTTGCAAGAAGCCGGGGATCTTACGCCAGCAGTGAAGACTGTGAAAACGGAAACGGAGAAAAGAAAGCATGAATGGCACGCCGTCAAGGGGCCGCCCCCGAACCAGCGATGGAGTGCAGCTAACAGGGGAAATCTACCCAATGATACGACGGAACTACTTCAAACAACTCGGACTTGGAAAGCAGGTCAGCCGTCGGTTGCAGAAATGAAGTCGGTCTGCTCTGTTCCCAGAGCCCAATTGGCCTGACACTACGCGGTGCAAACTAAGACGAGCATCAACCCGAGCAAGAGGCTAGTGCTTGCTTCTTGGGCAAACAAGACCCACGCGATCATTAGCAAGGTTTTCAACCGAGAGCGAAACCGGCCGAATGACATGCCAACGCTTTTTTCGAGTCAGCAACTAGCCCAACGTTCTGCTCCGCATCGCATAACCTCCCGGTGGGAGCATGAGAGCAGTGCTCACCCTGTTAAGGTGGGCACAGTGGATCGCGGCGCTGCGCCTCGAGAACGTGGCCGTTGGGTACGCTGATGGACGTCCTCGAGCCGCTGCGGGGGGGCTGCTGCACGGTGCCGGACCTCGAGTCTTTCTTCCGCATCTTCGGCTCCGAAGGCGCGGGCCCGCGGGCGGCTGGCGGGGAGGAGGAGAAGGAGGAGGTGCGCGGCGCCGTGCGGCGGTACATGATGCTCGCCCGCACCGGCTGTCACCACCCCGCCTTCAACACGGCGGCCGCCGGGTCCGTCCTCGCGTCGCTGCTGCAGATGTCGGTCTACGGGCACACGTTCGCCATGCACCCGAAGATCGACCTTCAGATGCGTTGGCTGCAGAAAGCGGGCGGCTGCCGGAGACATTACTGTAGTACCATCACACACGCTTGTGCTCTTTGCAACACCCACATGCCTCCTGTGCACGTATCTGCATGGTGCGGTGCTTCCGCACCATGCAGATGCCCATGTGGAGGTTCGGCGAGCGCAGAATTACAGCATTGTGTCCGAACCGCTCGTCCTCCATTTGTACTTGCCGAGTGCCCGTGGCACGGTCTAAGTCCTAAGCGCCGCGATCTGGTCAGCTCCGTTCCCCGTGCGACTGCAACTGCGGCACGCAACCAAGAAGGTCGAGAAGGGAGAGAGAGAGTGCATCGGCGCGGCGTGGCATTGTCCCCTCACATGCACTTGACCTTCGCTTTGTACGTGCGGATCCTCTGGCCTTTCAGAGCGCGCTCGATCTGTTGGTGTATTGGGGTTTGCGTCCCTGCGTTGAATCGTACGAACTGCCTCGTGAGACGGCGCATAGTGCAGGCATCGATCGACTTCTTTCGGACGGCAACCAGGTAGGTACCAGGGAAAGCCTGCTAGCCATGTGTTCGGCGGTACTGCAGAGCCACGGGCCTGCGGGTCAAGTGGCTACCGAATTCCCAAACTAAAGCATCAAGGCGGGGCGCACCTTGGACACAAGCTCGTCATGACGGTCAGCCACAGGGCAGAGCGGGCGGGGTTGTGGCACTGTGCTGCCTCCGACTCAAGCTTTGCAAGCTGTGGTTGACCGTCACGTTCCTGGACCATGAGCGGCCTTTTTCTTTTTATTTTTTGTATAAGCACCTGCTTCGTAGGAAATGCTTGAGGAGGCTGCCAGCTGCAAAAGATCAAAGGAGGTAAATGCGCTGTAGCCCACACGAAACACAGGTGAATCTGGGTTTAGTGGCGGGCGTAAAGCGTTCAAAAGAAATGCCGTTTCATTCGTATGGCAACAGATCGCAAGTTCCAGACCAGCAGCAAATCTGCCCGCTCCTCCCCGTGGCACTCCAAGCCAGCAAGACTTCTCGGCGGCCACCCATTCTTCCCTTCCGGCGGGTTGTTTACAACTTCTCGTCCGAGTATTTCCCAATTCCGTTATAAGTTTGAGCCTCGGTTGACAGGGTGCGGCACACGAACCCCTCAACTCGGCTACAAAGGTTTGGCTTCTTTCGACTATCTTCTTTTTTCTGACGTTTTGGGAGTACACGTTCTTTGTATCAAAGCACTAATGATGTTATCACGCCAAGTGTATCTGAATTAGATAGCATTCGCCGTATAGTACTTGTCATGTGGCGAGCATATACTTTGATAGTGCAGCAGCCCGCTCGTTGCAGATTTTTCTCTCTCTGGTCCAGATTTTTCGCCAGGGGTTCAAGCAAGCGATGTGCATACGTTCTCGTCGTTCTTTTTCGTTTCGGCCTCGAGGTCGCTCGCGGAGTAAAACTGCACGCCTTCGGCGTTCGCCTTTGCTTGTTCGGCGGTCAGAATCAGGCGGTTGCCACCTTTTCCGTCGTCGTACACTGCCCCCACGTGGTTCTGCATGTCGAACACCGCCTGCTCCGCGTCCTTGACGCACTGCTGCAGGTCCTCCCCGGAGACGTGCCTGCGCAGCCAAAAGACCTTCCGCGCTTCGTTGCGAGCCGCTTCGAGCATTTCGTAGTTCCCGGCGAACGTCGCGTGCGTCTGCCGGAGCACTGAGCGGTAAGCCTTCCACCCGGGGGTGCCGACGCCTCGCTGCACGGCCACCGGCGTTACGCGGTGCACGGGAGGGATCATTCGTGCGCCCCCTTCTTTTTTTCTTGTTGGAAGGTGTGCTAATACTGTGGGAAATAGTTGACTAGATCTCTTGAGTTTGTGTTACCCACGATTGTGGGAGTCGGGTGAGCCTAACGTACAAACGCAGGACCGAACAACCCCCTTTCGTGAGAAAAAGTGAAGAAATGCCTGACGTATACTATAGCTACTTTGACTTCGAATGGAGGAAACATAAGGTAGGGGGTGAATACAATCTGATTGGTTCTTCGTTGAGTGTGGGTGTGTGTGTGTTACGGACCCGGTTTTACGTGGTGCCTCCCTTTACAGAAGTACGACCACGCTCAGCTTTGACTAGGTGACGGCCGACGCACCCCCGGGCTGGGAGTGAGGGTTCCTGCACGCGTAACTCCTTTCCGCGTGGTGCTTCGAGCAGCAGCTGGCCAATGCTCTGTCTCCTCGGGTCGGCCTCTGGCTTAGCACCAAGGCCATGGCGGCATTGCTGAGGGCGTCGGCGTCGTGTTCTTCAGGGATGAAACTATTCTGGCAGCGCGCGTCTGATACGGTTTGAGCTCACCGGAACATGATATACGTCGTTCCGCCATTTTTTTTTTTGTGTTACCGTCGATCCCGAAGGACGATCAGTTTGGTGTCTTGCGACCCTTGTTTGTTTGGCAAGGAGTTTTGGTGACGTGCTTTTTTTTTTTTTTCCCGACGACAACTAGTGTCAGACTAGCCTACCCGAAGGCAGTTGATTTCTTTAGGCGAGGTTTCTCTACCGGCGGAATTTGTTTAGGTTAGCGTTTTTTTTTTTTTTTTTTTTTTCCCTTCCGTTGATATTGTTAGTCATTCACTCCCCCTTTTCCCTACCGGACCCCTTCTCTTTCCGCTTCTTCCTCTTCCGTTGCCCCCCACACAAGACGCAGTGCTGATTTACTCGAGATATCTCAAAACTAGCGAGGACCACCGTGCCGCTAACGGGTCGTCGCACAGGACCTTCACGCGTTTCGCCACGTGCCGGATCGTGTCTCTTCGTTTCTTTGCAAAGTCCGCGAGCAGTCCCTGCAGTTGTGGCGGGTCGGTGGGGTATGCGTGACGGATGTCGGACACTTCGTTGTGCGTCGCATCATCTGCGAGCAGGACGAAAAAGGTGATACTTTCTCGATTAATGCGTGTCATCCTTGCGCAGGGACCATGCATTTTTTTTTTTTTTTTGTATAAGCACCTGCTTCCGGCTATTAGCTTCATTTTGCCTCAGTTTTCCAAATTCCGTCTCAATAGCCAATTTGCGTTTCCCGCTCTGAAACCGAGAAGCCTTTGTTTGGGCTTCCAAAAAGGGGGGGTCCGGGGGGCTCCGCCCGGCAAACGGTACGGTACATTCAGGTGGAGAAAGAGTTTGCACTTCTCAGTCCGTTTGTCGCGTTAAACATATCGACCAACGTACCGTGGCACTGTTTGCCATCTGTGTGACCCTCCCCTGGTGCACCCTCCTGAAGCCAACAGCCCATGTCAAATTCATCCGCCACTCAGATACTGTGTGCTGGTAAATCATTGGCATGAGTAGATGCAGACCGGAGATCACATGGAACAAGGCACTTGTGTCAACTCGGAGAGAATCTGTCAAGAATTCCGGGCTGCTTCTGAGCTTCGATCGGCTCAGCACCCACAGCAGCTGCCAGCCAGCCCACCATGCTCAGCGGCGACCCACCGCCAGCAGCCCTTGACCGCCAGCCAGCTTCCTGGCACAGCTGGCCTAACCCACGCCTCCACCGGACCCCCACGACTTTTTTCATCGAAGGTCGTTTTTTGCACTTTTTATTTTATTTAATGGGAAAAATAAATTCCCTCTGGTGGAAATGGCTTGCGGAGCGTGACGATAAATTTCGTTTATTTTTGGCAGGATTCCTTTGTGTTTACACAGGCCGGAAAAATAAACGAGTTTATTTTTGGAATTTATTTCGTGTGGCAGCATTTATTTTGTGCCGCCAGCCATTTTCAGGTGAAAAAAATAAACGAAATTTATTTTGTATCGCGAAAAAAATAAACGTTTATTTTTGCGTGGGGGTTATACAGAGAAATCTGTAGGGGAGACCCCTCGCAAAAAATTTTTTCTCCCTGTGGTGAGTGAAATCGCGTGTTTTGAGCTCGTTTTGAGCCGAATTCATTGGTGTCTCATCCTCGGTGCTCAAAGGCCTGTGAAGAAAACCCCTCCCGTGAACGCTCCAGCCCAGTAAGTGTCAGATGAAGTTCACCGCCAGCGAACTCACCCATGCTGAATTCCAGGTCCAAGTGCGTAGAAAACTTGTACCAATTCAGTGTGCTTGAGTCTCGTTGCAAGAACATCTGTGGGTCTGCCTGAGCACACTGGATTCCAGCTGTCTGAGTTCATCTGCTGATCGCCTGCTGTGCATGTGCAAGCGGCCGAGCACTCGCGTTGCAAACTAACACCACATCAACTCCCCGCGACTTATCAAAATTTCACGCCGTCCAAGCAACGATGTTTTGTTTCCACCCTCGGGAATTTAGTTTTCCCAATAAAATCATTTATTCGGCAATAATTTCCGCCAATTTTGCCTCGGTGTCGGTTTTAGTCCCTCGGGAGGCCCTCGGGGGGGTTTGCAACCCCTCGCCACTCGCTCCGCTCGTGGCTCGGGGTTGCAAACCCCCCCTCGGGCCTCCCTCGGGACTAAAACCGACACCTCGACAAAATAAACGGAAATTATCTTGCCGAATAAATGCTTATTATTGAGCCGCCCGGATTTCCAAATTCCGTCAGCTGACAGAATTTGGAATGGGAAGCTAATGCCCTGACCTGCTTTGTAGGAAATGCTTGAGGAGACTGCCAGTTGCGATAGATCAAAGGAGGTAAACGTGCTGTAGCCCACACGAAACACAGGTTCAACAAAAAGACCCACTTTGTAACTGTATTGTTTTCTCCCCCTCTAGCCTCCTTCGAAATGAGCACAAGGCAGTCCCTCGAGTATTTTTGCTGGCAGCGAAAAAAAGAAACGAACCATGAAACAATATTGGGCTCCCGACGCCCATCGCTAAGAGATCGCTACGGAGGAGCGGACATAAAACGATGAAGAAGAAAGAAAAAAAACGCAGAAACAGAATAGCAAACCAGAAGAAAATGGGAGGGGTGAAGAAAACGCTTTGCTGCAACGGGCGGAGGCCGCGACCTCCCTGTTGCATGTTAGGGAAAGGGGAAAGGGGGTACTTATTATTTTCGTGTCTAGTTTGAGATAGGATTCGACTTACAAAGAGAGTGAAGGAAACCGTACACCGCGAGAGTAGGAGAAAGTAGAAAGGGAGACTAGAGTTTTCGTTGACCGCACTACCCTGAGCCCAAATCCTGGACGTGGTGTCAGGTGGAAAATTTGCAAATGATCATGAATAGAAGGTCCTACTTCGGCGGTTCAGCTTCCCACACATTGCATGTAGCTTTAAAAAAATGGGAGGGTCGTGGGGGGGGGCATGCAGCGTTCAGCCTTTGTCTCGGCATGAACAGTGCTCACTCTCTCTCTCTCTTCCTGAACTTTTTACCTCAGGCTAACTGGACCGGCCGGGTTGCTGCCCTCACACTTTGCTGCACTCGACGTACTCGCTAAGCAAAGGTAACAGCGAACCCATGCTAGACCACTAGACACCACTACTTGCGCCGAAGATAATACAAAGCCCGTACTTTTTTATGTCATGATAGGGACATGAGCCTGTAAAATAATGCTGCCTGAATCATCAGCTTTCGGGATGCTGGGTGTCTCTGTGGTTTTTGTGTGCTTTGTGCTTGGCCAACAGGTCCAACCCCCCGCACGCCAAGTCGGCCCTTCGGTATAAGTTCTGATCCGGAACGTTCCTTTCTCGCGTTACTCGCGGATTGGAAGGTCGGTATTTTGAACTTTCGTAAACGAAGTTCTTGACCCCTCGCTTTCGTGCCCACTTTGGGAATCGGTACCGCACTTGTCAGCCATTTGTCCTTGCCTCGGTCACCAGTCAGAATGTTGGTCTTCCCCAAGCTTCAGTTTTACAGTTTCACGAATAGGGTGGTCGATGTCTAAATTGTTTGTTTGCACGTGCCGGGGGAGGATTAGCCTGCTAGTGATTGATAGTGAGTGAATATATAATGATCGTTAGGCTAATCTTCTCCCAAACACGCTGCCAGCGTTTTCTTTCGTGTTTACAAAGCATCGTTAAAAGGGGTGGTCGAATAATAACAGTTATTTGACACACGTCTGGTTGTCTAAAAACACTGCCACTACTTGATCCTGCTACTGTTCGGCTACCCGAAACTTTTTTTAGTATTCGACAAATCGAATAATAACACAGGTGTTATTATTCGGCCCCCCCCCCCCCCTTTACTACGAAATGCTCGCCAGTTGGTGGGTAGGAGTCCACCACAACGACGCCGCCACCGGGGGCAAAGGAGGGCGGGACATGGGAATGTAGAGTAGACTTCACACACCCAGGCCGCTCACATGGGTGCGTACTACTTGGCGTATGTATATTGCTGGCGACCGTTCCCATAGTAAACGCGTGGTCCTTCGGGGTCGGAAAGTGGAAGCGGACAGACTGGCTCGCGGGATCTAGAAGCGAGGAACGGCCCTCAGAAGGCTAGTCCTTAGGGGTTGGGGGGTCTAAAAAAAGTGGTAAGTCTTGGGGGGTCAGTGGAAGACAAGGCGGGAAAGTAGGGATGTGCGGCGCGGCAAGATTTTGCACTTGTCGAGGCTAGTTCCGCACGTCGCTGGTAGACTGATTAGAAGCCGGTGGTTTGAAGTCTCCGGCTGGCAGGCGCCGAAGCGAGTTTCTCGGGCCCGCGGAAAGGACGACTACTATGTCGCTTTAATACTGGGTGGTATTGCCCTTTACACACACACACACACACACACACACACACACACACACACACACACACACACACACACACACACACACACACACACACACACACACACACACACACACACACACACACACACACACACACACACACACACACACACACACACACACACACACACACACACACACACACACACACACACACACACACACACACACACACACACACACACACACACACGCACGGAGTGAACCATCTCACCTGTAAGACACGGCTGTGTCACACAGCTCTTGACAGACGCTAGCTTCCGACTTTGTGCACGTGTGTTACAGTTGTTGTGGTACTGACAAGAGGTTTCATCGGACAGTGGAAAACGACGACTAATATGTCGCTTCCTTACTGGGTGGGAAGAGAACGAGAAAGAGGGGCCGAAGGACGAATCGCGATATGAAAGGATTGCGGGTCCCGAGGTCCCCCTTCGGGCGATGTGGCTCGCGACTGTTTCCGCCATCGAGTTGATCGCGCTTGCGTCGGATTGGGCGAGGACAAACAGAGAAGAAGAACCCGCTGAAAAATCAAACTGCGCGGTACTTCCGCCGCCCCCTGCTCAAAATGCTGCAACTCGCCTTCGCTTGCTCATGGATGGAATATGAAACTGGAAAAAACTAACTGGCTTCTGACCTCAACGTTCACAAATCTGCCTTCGAGTCGCGTCGGCCACGATATTCGGCTTATGGATGCGATAGGCCCGTGCTCTTGAGCGTTTGTCCCCTCTCAACAGCGCCCCTGCGTTCATGTCCAGCAAGCGTAAAGGTTGTCTTGCGGTTAACGCTCTCGCCAACACGGTCTACATTGCTACAACCGGGGGGGGGGGGTTCGACACAGAAAGAAGATTGTCATCGGAAGTCCGGGCGGCAATCACTGCGGCTGACGGCTTCTTGATATTGAACGAGAAAGAAGCACCAACCTCCCAGCCTCCAACGGTTTGGTACAACTTGACTTGTCACGTCCTCGCATAGAGCCGAAGCGTTAAATACTCACTTTCCAGCTCCGGCAGGCGAGCTGCGTGAACCCAAGAAAGAGCCAGCAGAAAATGAATATAGAGGTGGCGTAAAAGATAGAAGTGCAGCCATGGTGGAGGGGGTGCGTAGAAGAGGTGATGCTAGGGAGAAAAGAGGCTGTTGCTCGGATGCGACTGAGGTCACCGCACCCAAGGCTTACGATTTTCGAATTCCTGCAAGGCTCTATGGTCCCAAGGTTTTTGTGTCACTGTCGATCGAGTTGCTTTTTTCTCGCGGTCGTTGTTGAAAAGAGACGGTTGGCAGGGTATCGCGCTGTGTAGGTAACTTCAAACAGGGACCACACACACACGTGCGCACAAACAGTTTTCAAAGGCATCAGCCCG